GCCCTTCAGGCAGTCAGGAGGCAGGCCGTGGATTGGCAAGAGCAGCCTCCTCGGCCTGGCTGGCCCTTAGGAGGCAGGCCGTGGAAGTATATAGGTACCCCCCCAGGCACTTCACGATTCATTCAGGAGGCAGCAGTCTTCAGGATTCGGGAGCAGCACTCTGGAGGGAGCGCTGCAGAGTAGTAGTAGCGTTAGCTTGTAGTCTTCAGCGCTGGGCGCAGTAGGTAGCTGTAGTCTCCAGCGCTGGGCGCCATAGCTAGGACAGCACTAGAGAGAGAGAGAGAGAGAGAGATTGGGCGGAGGCCAGAGGTACTTACTTGCCGCGCCGTTGCTCCAGCTTCGTCTTCGAGGTACCTGCAGCACAGCACCACATTCACAGGTTAGTATCTGGCTCGTAACAGTGAGAGAGAGAGAGAGTTCTTCTTCCTCCTCTTCTCAGTCCACCATCTTCTTCTTTCCGTCTCCATCTCTGACTTCACTGCATCTGCAGACTATGAGAGAAGAGATACAGAGCTTGGTGACATATGATCCAGACTCGACTTTTGGGGGTTCAGACATGGCAACGAGGGACTATTTGGGATTGGTGACCAAGACTTGGTGTTAACGACATTCCCATCTTCCTCCCTCCTTTCGTCTGATCCTTATCTCTTCGTCTGTGTATGTCTGGACCTGGCGCTCTCTTCCTGTGTACAAGCGCCAGGCTCCTTCACACTTGGTGACGGATACAATGCATGTTTAGTCTGAGTTCAAACCTTGGTTGGGCTAGATAGTAGTAGTCTAGCCCTCTGCTTCGCTACTTGATACCTACGTGAATGAGGTCAGTCCCAGTCAGGTCAGTCTTTGTATCAAAGTCTTCCCTGCGCTCTTCAGCATCTTTATGTATGATTGAGAATGTACATTGCTTGTCGAGATTCTACTCGCACTGTATTGTCCAGTCAGTCCTTTTCATCACACTGCAGTTCCTCGGTTATTACGTACATTGCATATCTGTGCATGTAACACCAGCTGCAGCAATCAGTCGGTTACCTGCGCCCGCTGCTCTTGTGCCAGCGGGCCACTCGCAAACACAATCTGGCCTGCAAAAGGCAATGTAGCAATCCTTAAGCGACTATTGAATCTTCAGCAACAGTTGGGGAGAGAGAGAGAGAGAGAGAGAGAGAGAGAGAGAGAGAGAGAGAGAGAGAGAGAGAGAGGACATGGAGAGAAGTTCCTCATGTAAGCTACATTGTTGTGTGAAGAGAGAGAGAGAGAGAGAGAGAGAGAGAGAGAGAGAGAGAGAGAGAGAGAGAGAGAGAGAGAGAGAGAGAGAGAGAGAGAGAGAGA